GTTATATACTTAGTGGTTAGTAAGGCATTTACCTCTGTTTTGAATCTATAAGGAATTCCAAGCACTGCATTACTGGAAATTTATGTAAAGTCCTTGGCAAAAATGGGTAAAATCTAAGGGTCTGCAGTTGTTCTTTTTAGGGAAGCACATTTTAAATGTAGTAAATGCTCAGGACTCACAGCACACTGTGTTGTATCAATTGGTGCTTGGCAAGATGTGATAATGGGGATTTTGAAGAGGTTCCAGAGGAACGTACTGCATTTTGGTATGAGAGAAACAAATGAAAAAAAATATTAGTATATGAACCGAAGAGAACATATATTTGGTTCAGTTTGTAAACATCTGTTCTGATTTCCAAATTGTCATTTCACCGGCATGGAGAGAGAAATGCATGTGAAGTGTTTTACATGTGCATGGTACAAGGTGTGTGTTTTAACAAGGAAAATACACCATCCAGAGAGGTTTCAGGGTGTTTTGTACCGTTACATAATGATGCATTATTGGGTTCTGGTGCCTTTGTAATGGTTCAGAAATCCTGCATCAATTCCTGTGCTCAGAGCTTCCTAACCTTAATTAATGCTGGCGTTGTGAGACAGGTATGGCAGTAAATCCTGCTGCAGAGATGTGTCTGATGGGGACTGTAGCCCAGGCGCATTTGGGGTTGTGCACCCTATGCTGTATGACGTCTAAGCGTGTTTTTAAGGCACCCGTGTGTCCGTCCCCAGCAGAAATTCTGGGTGAGGACACTGGCACCTCCCTGAGGGAAGTGAGGTGGAGCTGTGCCTGGTGCCCCCCTCGCACACGTTGGGGTACAGGCGCTTGCTCAGCCCCAGCCGGTGGGGTGGAGAGGCTGCTTTTAACACAAGGAACAAATTAAAATATACATGTAGTGATAGTGAGGATGTAATAGCGCTAAAAGAATTTTCTTAGCTTTTTTAGGGAGAGATGGTACAGACCAATGCTTTTAGCCTAAGACAAGCCAAAGAGAGATGTCTTCTGTGCAGCTGGGACCAACCACAGAACAAGGTCATGCTGGTTTGGGTAACAAAAGAAAAATAAGGGTAATGTTTATGTGGAGCCTTCCTGCAACAGTACGTCCACATACTGTATTTGTAACATGCATTTTTCTGTTGGTGATGGTATAATACAGCAATGGCGCTGGCCTGTGTCAGGGCAGGAATGTACCCCCTGCTCCTAGGAGTTTAGCTGCGTGCTCAAGGCTGGCTGGCTGATAAAAGATGCCTTGGCCAGCCTGGGAGCTTTTCAAGAGGAGGAACCTCAGCAGGGGCTCCCCAGCTTTTTCTCCGTAGATGCTTCTGGGCTGAGGCTCTTGCATCTGGCTGCTGCCTGAGCTGCAACCCCACGGGTGCTGCAGCCCTGCCCATGCCTGGCCTTGGCTCCCATTGACCTGGCCTCCGGCTCTCGCTGCTCCCCGATGGCGCGGACCAGTGCTCCTTCCCTCACACCATCTGAAGTGCGGGCACGATTGAGCTCTGTTGAGCTGGCCACCCATTACTGCTTCATAATATCTCAAACCTTATTGGCATTACAGCATCAAGAATCTTTCTAGTAAGTTTGGAAAATCATTCCACTTACCCATTTCCTTTATGCAGTATCTGTATAGCATCATTCTGATCCGTTTGATATGCTGCGTAGTTGATATTTTCAGTAAAGTTCTTTCAAAACCAGTCCTTTGGAGTACATTGTTTCTCCCTGGAATTGGTGGCAGGAACTCTTGTACAACTGGGAGTCAACAGTGGCTTAGTTAAGTGTATCCCAAGCAACAAGTATATGAAGAGCAACATGACAGTCTAAAAAGGAGAGTGAGGTTGGTCTGCAGGAAGATGAAATATGTTGTCTAAGGCATACCTGATACAATTAAAATTATCATAAACTGCAGAGATCTCCGGGCTTACCCAGATCAGCGTGGATTACCTGCATAGCTGTGGAGCCACACTAACAATTTCTCTTGGCCTTAGCAGCCCTCCTGGGTCACATTCAGAAACCTTCTGACCTCAGATTAGGTAAACTACACTGTAGTTAATGACTTCATCTTCCAGCTTTCATCTGCTTAGTGCTTGAATTAGTAAGGGGTAACGATTGGAGCCTACTGTACATGATTTATTAGCACACTGTCCTTGCAGTTTTAACACATATGCCTGTATGAAGAAAATAGCTTTGTATGTAGTCTGAGGGCTTCTTTCATCACTTTTCATTTAGAGCAGTTTCTAAGAGAGTGTTTTGCTACAGTAAGAAGCTCAGCATAAAACTCTAATAAAGCAAAACTTGAAAGACACCAATTTTGCTTACAGCAGTGACACATTACATAAATAAAACACTGTATAATCTGGTAAAATAATAGTTTGCTTGGGATGCAGGTTGCTGCCATCTGCTCTTTATAGAAAGTAGGTTTTTTATATGGTTGCTGGGAAGGGAACTTCTCCAAAACCGGCATTTAGCAATGGAAGTCTTCACCCCCCTTGTCAGCAGACCGCCCTGGAATTTCCTGGATTTTTGGAGACCCCGTGGCTTGCCGCTGGACTTGGGTGTCCTCTGGATGCTTGCACATGCCAATCTTCTGGCCTGGCTCTCTCGGAGGAGGCAATGCATTTCTAGTGAATTGTTCAGAGATGTAAGTTACATTAGAAAATAGGGCACAAAACATCATTTGGGATTGAGGTTAAGATGATTCTTCCTTTCCTGTTTCAGTGTTCATTGCCTTGGACTCCTTGAGCAGATCCAGCTTGCAGGCACTCAGGAACCAGGGTTGAAAGACATGCTTTTTCTTTTAAGTGACCTCCTTAATACCGGATGAAAGATTTTACCACATTTTTTCTGGCTGAGTGTCCTGTTGTGACCAATGCAAATACAGTAATTGTGGCTTGCCTGAAGGATCATTATGCCTGAAATTCAAAATATTTCCTGGTTGTACTCTCCTCTTCTCGTTATAACATTTTCCATGTGACGTAGCTTGAAGCAGTTGTCCCCTGCCCAGTCACCCTGCGTGGCTCTCCTAGATCCTGAGTGTACGACACCCTGTACGTCCTACACCCAGCCATCATACTTGTTACCAGGTCTGCAACTTTTGGCACAGGACCAGCTTTCTGATAGTCGACATGATCAGGCATTTGTCTGCCCTGAGGGATCCTGAATGCTGCCCATTGCCAGAGCATGTGCTTCTGGGCTCTGACTGCTGCTCAGATCAGGTTGTTTGGTCTTGAAGCACATGCTGTGCTCTGGCTCGATCCCTCGTGGGGACACTGGGGACGCCGGGGTGTAGCCATGCTGCAGAGCAGACCTGCTGTGGACGACCGACCCAACAGCAAATGAAAAATAAATTAATTAGTCTTTTAGCATTGTCCTCTGTAACCTGCAGAACTAAAATTACTTTTATGACTTTTAAACATCTGAGTATATTTCTAAATCCTTACAAGAAATAAGAGCCACTGAGTTTGGAAGCCTTATCCTTTCATAGCGGTAGTCTCTATTATGAGAAGTAATTTGTCAGGCAATGTGTTATTTTGTGAAGGAAATACAACACTGTATTTTCATCTTTGACTCAGAACTCTGAAGTGAAAATAATCACTCTCTGGGCAGTTTAATTGATTTGAAATGTTCCTACAGAAGACTTAGTTCCTATATAGTAGTCTATGTACAGATCACAGGAAGCTTTAGAAAATGGAAGAATAAAATGTGTTAAAGGCTCCTTAGCTAGCTGCAGACATATAAAGGTATTTTAGGTTAAAGAATCTTTTTGTTTTGTACCATAAGTAAAGAAAAAACCTAAATCCACTTGCTAAAATTAAGATGGTCTCTAGGCTCACGCAGAGCATGTGGAGATGGCTCTAGGTCTATTCCCTCTTCCGGCATTCAGTTAAATATTTGCTGATTTGTTAAATCCATTCCCGTTTAGCAAATAAACGTAAGATTGTTACTTTTCATGAAATCCGAGGGCTTAAGCTTGGACAAAATTAGGTCTCTCCTAATACTTCTTTAGTTCAGCTTTTCCCATCTGACACTGGTGCTGTTTTGGGGGGTTTAGCGGCTCAGTCGGTGAGCCGAGGAGCAGAGGTCTCTCCGCACAGGGCCCTCCGCAGCGCTGGAAGTGGAGCTGAGAGAGCTGTACGCTGACGGTGTCTCTGTAGCCCTGGCACAGCGGGGCTGGTTTAGCCTTGTATCTGCACCCAAGCCCGACTCATGAGTGCTCTTTCCTTTGAACTTCCAATGCACTTGGTTATGGCCTCTCTTTCCAAGTTGCATTTTGATCCTCCACACATCTCTTCTTGTAATGCTTACCTGCCATCCTCTGCTGAAGCCATCCACGCCCAAGCTCTGCACTGTGTATCAGAGAGATCTTGAATGCAAGAAATCACTGACACTAGCAACTATTGTGTATTATATATTTGCATCCACATGTAACCTGAAAACTTCCAGTTTTGCAGGAACTTTATAAACAATATTTTTCTCTGCTTTAGTGGCAATGGTCACATTTTTGTTATTTGAGACCAATGTTACACTTGCTCTAACGTCTCCTGGTTTTAGCTCAACCTGATTTCAAGGGCATTACTTTTAGTTTATAGTAGTCAGTGCAGGATCAAATGTATGGCATTCTGAGAGGCCACAGACATGCAAACATATTTTTTCCTCCTTTCCTCTAAGATGTCCAAATTACCACATACAGACTACATCTGCTATCCGAGACATGCGGGGCAAACCTGGCAGGGCAATTGTGCTGTGGAGGTTGTGGTAGAGGCAGAGTTTATCCAGGAACAGTTAGCTTTATCCCTATAGGTATGTATCCATCTGCCCACCTGTGCTTTAGCCATAGATGCATTTTATCATAACTGCTTGTCACTATATAATCGTGTTAACACCATTTCCCATAAACTGTAGACTGGCACGGAGGTGTGTTCACAAGTCTTTTTCTATACTCCTGCAAAAGTGCTTTTTTAACAGCTAATGAACCTTTTTTTTTAAGCCAAAAAAATGTTTCCAAGCCATTCACATGCGCAAGAAGTGCTTTTATTTTTGCCTTAAGTGAAAGCCATCAAGGTCTGTAAAAAGCTGAGCGGAAAACAGTGCTCTACCTTACAGCAGGCAGGAAAACCAGCTGGCAATCATGGCTTGAAAGTCCCACAGTTATTAATCCTGCAGGCTACTGTAGGCCTTTCGTTATATGTAGGTACAGCTTCCAGTCTCCGGAGGACCTCCGTGCCCTCGATCAGTTGCCTATGGGAGGGAGAAAGTGCACATATGATCCATCTCCATCTGGAGCCAGGTTTGCAGCCTCCGGCTCGTGTGGGGCTATAACAAACCCAGACACCAGTTTCCTACTGATAGGCTGCACCCGCTCTGCTCTTTAAAAAGTTGTTCTTCTCAATGGAGTTGCAGACGCCATCAGTTCTTGATTAAGTAGCCTCTAGTTGGCATTTCAGGGCAGGTGAAAATACTATGGCTTTATGCAGCTACATTTATTTAGAGAAATAAGTGTTGCACCATGAGCCCCAGCTACAAACGGCCATTACTTTTGGGGAGAAAGAAGTCAAGAGACACGGTGTCAGAAGTGACAGTATTAGAAGTGACTCCCTGAGAAATATCTTTTGTTTCTTTCCTTCACAGCGCCAATCTGAATCCTGAAAACAGTCCAACATTTTGCAATCTTTACGATTTTCAGCCCGTCCTGCTCTCCCGTGCTGTGGGAGCACGAGCTGTGCTTCTTGCAGGCGCCGGCACGGCAAGGGATGCCAGCAGCGCTCTGGGAAGCTTCATACCGTATCCCACCCCACCCCACCCAGCGCAGCGGTACCGAGTGGGGAAGACACTGCAGGTGGCCTTTGCCCAAGCAGGGACATCAGGAGGACTGGGCCAGTGCAGGGCTCTAAAGTGCCCAGCCGTCCTTGTCGTATGCTGTGAGTACCTTTTGCTCCTTTAGGATTAAACTCCCGCTCAGATTTAAGAGGGCCTGTCTATAAGATCATGGATCCCGCACCTTTCAGACTACAGAGAGCCAGTGGCAAGGCAGAAACCTGAGGTGAATGCCACTAGTTATAGACACACCCAGCTAGCAATTGCTTTTGGTTTGTTGTCTGTAGGTGAGACAGTTATGCTTTTAGTTTCCTTTAAAAGTACTGTCTTTCTCCGCGATGTGGTTACATAGAAACTGCACTGTGAATTTCTCTCTCTGTGGTAATACATACATGTTTTGCTCTCTTACATCAAGCAATCTGCTCAGAGCAATGATCTTCCTTATTACATTCATCAAGATCTAAAAATCTTAACAGGGCCAGCCCTGTACATTAACCTGAGGACAAACTCCAAGCGTGCACTCGCTGAAATAATTTCTTTCAGCTTGTGAGGGCAGAGAAGAGCCCAGAGGCTTTGCTCAACACCCGTCAGGGCCCTCCTTTGGCTGGCAGCAAGCTGGACAGGCATGGATTTGTAGCCTTCACCCTGGAGAGGCCCTGGCAGCTTTGCCATAGGGTTTTCTAGCTCAAGCAAGTCAGGGCAGGGCAGAGAAAAGGGAGGGATGGGGGTCATTAGGTGCTTCAGATCTGCCTTACTCATCCTCCCCCCAGCTGGAGGCATCCATGTTGCAGCTGCCTTAGGGATTTCATGGACTCCTCGCCCCGGGCAGCAATGTCCTGTGGGGCCGCAGAGGCAGCAAGCCTGTGTGTACCTACCCAAAAGCCACGTATTTTTTGTCCAGGTTTGGAGCTGGCTGGAAGGTGATGTAGAACTGTGAGCTGTTGCTGTGGCGGCCCTTGTTGGCCATCCCGAGGACCCCTCTTCCTTTGTGACAAACGGAGAAGCTTTCATCTAGGGAAAGAAGTCAGGGATGAAAGGCTGCAGTTGTGTTGCTCCCTTTGCTGTTATTCACCCTACAGCTCCCTTTTGCCTGCTCCTGCAAGCTCCCCCCTTTCCTTCTCCTCCGCTTTCTCTTTCCCTTCTCCTTTTCCCCCAAAGGTCTCATCGAGTCTCATGCGAGCCAAGTCTGGTTTGAATCAATGTCCTTCCTAGAAAGAGCTTCCCGCTACTGCCTAGTGCTTAAGCCAGTAAAGAAGCTAATGAAAAATATCCATGAAGAAGCATTCCAGGTATTTCTGAATGTCAGAACCACAGCAACGATGCCTCTGGCTCCCCGTTGTCGGTCTGTAATGCCCCTCGCTGGAGGAGCTCGAGGCACTTGGCACGGCATTTCCCCGCAGCTACTTGGGATTATTCCCGCTGTAGGGACGAGGAAGGTGGGAGGCAGAGGGGATGCTCCGAGCACAGCCTCCGCTCTGCCTCCCCTCATCCCGCTGCCTGCGGTGAAGAGGACGAGATCCCCCGTGAGCACAGGCGGGGCTGCACGGGCAGGACGCGCCTGGCTGGGGCAGGATGCCTGGCTGCTCCCAGCGCTCGGTGACTCGCATGGGAGGGCAAGCAGGAGACCTCTCTAGCCAAATAAAACAACAGAGCTGAAGAAATGGAGAGCAGATATTTAGTTAAGGAGGCCGGGGTGGTCCCAGAGCAGAAGCTTTGTTCCTGAGCGAGGAGAGAAGGCAAGCTCTGGGAGCAAGAGAGCAAGGAGGTGAAGAGGATCCTCCGTGCCGGCTGAAGAAGGACTGGTGAGGGAGAGAAGAAATGGCTGTCTAGAAGGATGAGTGGGGAAGGATAGGCACTGGGTATGCTTGGGTTTGGGGGGATGATGGCAAGGACTTGATTCCTTCTTCTCCGTGGAGGAGAGCCTGGCTATGAGGTGTCCATCGATCCTGATCTCTGTCACCTGTCTCTGATCACACTGAGCAAGCAAGACACCCATCAAGCTCTCAGCAAACTTGAAGGAAACTGTAGAAATGTTTAGATTTTATTGTTCTCTTATCTTTAAAAAAATTCTTTTCACCCTGTTTGAGTGCCCTTCTCAGAAACTGATTCATAAAAATAGTAATTAAATTTTAACTGAAAAGTTGCGCCCTGACCGCTGCTTTGCAGTTTGCAAAATCACTTCAGCAGCCTAATTTTGGAGTGGGATGCTTTGTCCTATGACATGGTGCTCCAGTCTGAGTGATTCTTTGTAATTTTACCTCGGTTCTTTCAGCTCATTACAGTAAAATGAGGTTGCATCCCATTAATTTCAGCAAGCGTTGCAGTGCCCGGACGCATGCCAAGCGTGGAGTCTCCCAGAACATTACCAGCTGACAGAGGTATCTCTCGCCCTTTTCAGATATTGAAGATATTTGTCCTCTGCCCTCACTGTAAAATAGTTTTGCGGGAAGTACTAGGGAAGCAATCTAAGCCTTAAGATATAAAGGCATACCCAAGGGAACACCTTCCTCAAAGATGAAATGCAACTTTTAATTAAAAGGGGGCAGGGGAAGAATTAGCAATCCTCTCCTTTGATACATCAACACATGGAGTATGTGCGATATGGGTAATAAAACTCTTCCAGGGACACTTTCAAGGATGACAGATTCCAAATTAAATCCACCTTAAAATTACTTCAGCAATTTTTGTCGCATTGTCACCTTCCCACGTGACACAGCAGATTCTTTCCTGGGTAGCCCAGGGAAAGCACGAGCTCTGCCTGGAGGAGGAGGATGGAGCCAGGAGCGAAATGGCAGGGGCTCCATGCTGGGGCCGGAGCTGCGTGCGCAGGGCCACAGCTTTCCTGTGAGTGGGAGGGCCCACGCACGCTCAAACCCATTTTCCTCCGCGGACGATTTCTATCCGAACAAAAAGTGTGAAGGGTGCGAGATGTGCGCTCATGCCGCTGGGAGAGAGAACTCACAGACTTTTAAATCCGCCTCGCAAACACTTTAACAGCCAGTCCCATTTTGCTCCGGTACCAGCTTACATTCTTTCTGAAATGTGCATGTCCCAAGAGTCTAGGCTTGCTGCTATTTCAGGAACTCCAGCACCGAAGAAGTGGCTTTTGCCCCTTCCTGCCTGCTCCAGGCAGCCCATAGCATTTACCGCCTTGAGCCCCGCAGGCCAGGCTTCCACCCCCCAGGAGCTTTCCTGCCCGCCAGCGCCGCGGCTGGGCCTGGCGGAGCAGGCCGGCGACCTGCCCCCGGCCGGGTTTTGCTCCGTCCGTTCCGGGGCCTCGAGATGAGCGAGGGTGGCTTCTCCTCGCCAGCGGGCTCTTCGGCGTCTTGGGAAAGAAAGTTTTCAGCTGCACTTGGCATTTCTGATCTCGCTTTTGGCTGCTGCCCAGCCTGCTCAAATGTCGCCTCGTTTGTGCCATTGGCAGTGGGAGAGCTTTTATATAAGGGAACATAAATCAGTTTCAAAAGTGCTTTAACTGTCATAAAACGTCTTTATGGGTAGCATTTAAACAGAAGATCCCAAATGTCTGTGTCGATTATATGGGTTGTTTTTCTTAAATATTGCAAGTTATAATGTTCTTTTTTCTTTACATTTTATTACTTTAGACCAGTATGGGGGAACGTTTTCTGTTAAACTTAGCTCGTGTTTGTCATTTCTCGACTTTCATGGTTTTATGTGAATTGAGCAGTAACTAACTCCCCTTACATCCACAGTCATGTAACTGCTGGCAGCGATGCCTGTGGTGTGCCCAAGCCTGAAAACCTGCCTGAGATCCAGGAAATCTAGAGTTAAAGCTGACTTACTTCCATTGCTTTAAATGCATTTGAACAAGTGGTATCGGGCGCGTGGAGATCTGTAGCTGATCCGCTTCTGCATTTCTGTCCACAAAGGTGAGTATTTGCAGTTTGGAGTAGGCAGTGGGTGAGCATCAGCCCTCATTTAGACAGGGAGAAGGGGCTGGTGGAGCTGAGCCTCGAGCAGGGGACATCAGAGGAGGGGGCCAGGGTTACAGATCAAAAAGTGTCCTCACTAAAGCAGTCCGCTTGTGCTAATACATGCAGATAATCATTCTGACTGAAAAGCAAACCCTTTTGCTTTAGGGAGGTGAAAGGAAATTCCCAGGTTATTCTGTGAATAAGATCAGATTGACAACATGATTTTTGGAGAAATTTGCCATTTGCACAGTAAGATAGCTGAGGAAACATACCTTCAAAGGTGGGACCATAAATTGACTCTCCCGTGTCTCCCCTTCCAGTTACGATGTCTGCAGGGTAGATAAAAATAACCGTCAGAGACCAGGTGTATCACAGGCGTTACCGGGGGTTGTCAGTGAGCAGCTCAGCCGAGGTCAGAGATGGGGGAACAACTGCACCCATCTTCCTGTTTTACTACCAAAATTTTAACAGACCTTTGGGAAGAGCTCTGCTTCCATCCCAAGAGACAGTGTCTCTGTGGAGAACTAGTTCGTGCGGTGCATTTAATCGCTGCCTCTCCGAAGTTGGTATCTCGAGAGAGAATACAGCATCTCCCCTCCCGAGAGAGCTCCCGCGGTGGCAGCGCCCGGGCGAGGGAGGGGAGCCTGGGAGGGGGACAGCTGTCGGAGCGGGAAGGGTTAGGATTAGGAAGGATGAAAATGCAGCTGTGGTATTATGGTGAGTTAAGACCACTAACTTGTCTAAGAAAAGAGATTTGATAAGAGAGAAATTCCTATTGAACAAGATTTCTGATAGGTGAGGCACTAAAGAAGTCTCATGCATCTATTCTTAATTTTTTTTTTTTTTTAAAAGAAGTCTGGTTTTGTCACTTTATTTAGACACTGTCTTACACCAGTCAGGTTATGGTTAGTCCTCTACAGTAGCAAGCTTGTAATTTTAGATTATTTTTATGGACTACATAGATATCTGCCTAGTTATTCATGGAAATTAGGAGGCGTATCTTCAAAGTATAAACTTGAAATGGATTTAAGCACTCACATTTGGAGTAGGCAAGGCAAAGGCACATAAGAAATATAGGTAGGTAAGACTGATGATAGACCAAAAGGCAGTAATGAAGGAAATGCCATCTGATACACCTGACTATCTTGACTTCCCCGGGGATGTCAGGCAGGCTGCGTGACCCATTGCTCGTGGTGCCTTTCTCGTCAGTGCCAAGCTCCAGGCGTAGCACTGGTGTTCAGACAACTCACCAGCACGTTTGGAAGGGCTCTGGAACTTGGCTAAATGCCTCTGTAAATGAATCTCTCCATAAAACAAGTAGTGTGTTTTCCTATGAATATTGTTCGTGTTTTCATGTTTTCAATTAGTTTCCTCGTTACTTACCAAAGAACTTAATGGAAAAGAAATAATGCTTTCAATTAGTTTCCTAAGTTCTTTTGAAAAGGTCTTGGATAATCAAAAGAGCAAATTATCCAAATTTCTCCTATGTTTAGAAAGTGGGATGGCTGGAAGAGAAAATGTTTTCTGTTTTTTTATATATATATATATAATGAGCTTGTCCTGCAGAAATTAGCTTTGTCATGTAGTTCAGCTACATATCTGTGGATAAAAGCTGTTATTCATGCAGATGATCCCAGCACCACTTCTGCTGTAACTCAGATTAACTCAGGACACCTGGAAACCCACCTCCTCCTTGGATCCACCCGTTTTTCACTAGGCGATGAAAAAGGGAGTTCTTGTAGGTGAGCTCTCGGCCGTCGCAGAGGGACTTTGCTCCTCCGGTGCACAGGGCACGGAAATTCTCGCAGGTCCTGGGACACACGTCCGAAAAGAGCTGCATAAGCAAGAAGAGGAAAACACGTGTGAAATTCCTAGCTGGCAACGTGTGAAATTCCTAGCTGATATCCACCAGCCAGATTTCTGTCGCCCTCTCCTTCAGCAGGTGAAACCACAGCACTGGGTGTGCTTGTCCCTTGCTTTGGCTTTGCTCTTCTGTAACATACCTCAAACAGGAGCCTCCCGACGGGCTGTTCCTCGATGGCTATCTCCAGGTACACGAACACATGCTGTTTAAAGCAGAAAAATAAATGCAGTGAGGGAAAGGCCAGCTCTCTGTGCTGCACTTGCTTCCCAGGGTCCAGCCACCCCACCCAGCACCTGTGGTCTCTGAAAATGTCCGGGATTGTCAATGCACAACAGCATTCCTACTATTTTGTTTAAATAAACAAAAAAAGTGGAGGATGTTTCACTTCATTCCGGGCAGAAATAATCCTAACAGCGTGTTAAAGCAAACTACTGGGCAGGACCTGCTTCTTCATTTTGCTTTCATTTACATGCCTATTGCAGCCCGTACGGTACTGGCAGGAGTAAATGAATCCGCAGGAATACTGGCCACCTCACCAAAATGGACATTTCTCGCTCTTCCCAGCCAGACTGGTGTTCATTTTGGTAGGGCTTTTTTCTCTGCTCTCAGTACCGTGTCAGTGCTGGCAGCATCGTACCTCGCGACTTCACGGCATTTCAGGGGGTCTTGGCCAGGAAAGGAGAGGTTTGGCAGTTGGGCTTTTGGTACTCAAAAGAATTTCGGTACCCAAGGGCCGGGCAGTTTGGCATTTTGGAGCAGCACAGTTGCAGCAATGCACTTTTGACTGTTCAGTCCCGAAGCAGTTAATATGTGCTGGGCATCCAGGCTGGTGTTTGTCTCTTCCTGGCTGCCGAGGGGCGCAGAGGCTTTGCTGTCCTCGTCCCATCATGGGGCAGAAACCAAGAAACTGTGACTGCTGTGCTCACTTCTCCTTCCTCCTCGTGGCACCTGCCTTTTCCGCGGACAACCTCTCCAGCCACTTACAGACTTCGTACTCTTCGTGTAAAACAGTGCTACTTGCCTGGCTGTTTTTCAGATATTTGGTGTAAAAATCCTCAGCAATCGCTTGGTAAAGTGCCTCAGGCTTATAGTCGCAATAGTCCCACTCAGAGTAGGACCACTTGAGCAGCTCCCTCTCATCCCCCAGCAGCTGGCCATCAATGAAGCACATCACTGGGGAGGCGTACGCCCATACCTCACCTCTCAGTTCCTGCATTTCAGAGGGAAAACAAAGCCCCCAGGGATTATTTACACATTTAGTGAAGAAACAATCAGTAATAATCCACCACAGGTAAGGTAGCCTGTGATACTTTTATGCCTTTCCTACTTCTAAAACCAGAAATCCCACCAACTGGAAGGGATTGGGCAGCAGCTTTTGGTGAGGTGTGGTGACATTGCACGCAGTTACATGCCCTAAAGGTCTGGATCCTCTTGCTACAGGACATCGTTGTGATAAGAGTCACCTGGGTGTCACTTTGAGGGCAGGTCAGACTGAACAGGAAAAGCACCTGGAGAGCCCCATCCTGCCTCGAGGGTCTCTGAGACCATTAAATAAATTGGGGTGGAAAAACTAACTTCCAAATCTGCAGATGGCACCAAGCTGGGAGAGGCTGGGGAAAGGATTCATGTCCAAAACTGCCCGAGGACACAAGAATTACCTTCTTTTTCTCCTGTAAATATTCAAGCCATGCAAATTCTACTAAAGGCTGAATTACAGGATCTGCAAACTTGCTTGGAAACTTCAGCTTCAGAGCCTGCATTTTCAAGGTAAGGAAAAAAAAAAAAATGCTTACAAGCAGTTTAATACCCTCCCACACCCTATCCTATCATAGCTTGTGTTTCCCTCATGAACTACAACCTAAGCCACATTCTAATACAGTTATTTCTCTGCACCCCTCATGCCTCTGGCGTGATTCCTGACAGATGCAGAAGTGCATGCAAATTGCTCTAAATCCCTGTTTGCGGATGTAGGGGGTGTCTTATTTTTCTATGAAAGGCTGCTTCACAAATGTTATTGGATCATACTGGTACTCCCCCTGTCCATCGCCCCCAAGGGAGATGGATATAAGCAAGCGGTGAGATATTCAGAGATATTGCTGAGCATCAACTGCATTTTTGGATGCATGGGGAGTCGCAGTCCTCTGCTGTCCTAGGAGACAGGGCCCAGGGCCTTGGGGCAAGCGATCAGCTAAGGTGAATGTTTCCAGCCCCTATTGCTTGGAGCAACACCTCGGGAGCACAGCGCTATTTAGATATGGGACATTCCTGTCCAGGGATTTAGCCTCATCTCCACGTGGGCTGGGGCACACAGGTGCCACAAGCTGATGCTTAAAGCCAGCGCAGCTGGCCTTAAAAAGAATGAAGCGAAGAAGTGGCTTTCTGTTCAGCTCATGGTCCCTGTTGCTATCATTGGGATGGTGGCTGGGGGAAAAAAAAACGGAAGAAGCCAAAAGGCACACACCCCCTGCAGCTATCGGCTTGGCTTGTCCTTAGGGCTGCTGACAGACGGCAGAGCTTCGTCAGCTGTCACTAACACCGGGAACAAGCCTGGCAGATAAACTCTTACAGGCACTGAGGGCATAAAGGTCAGTGATGTGCACCCCATGGTGGGCCAAGCTTCTCTGAAAAAGTCTGTGAAACCCCATTTGCAGTTTTCTGATTTCTCCTCTGCACTGACAGAGCTGCATTGAGGGACGTGTCACAAGCTGCCCAGCAAGTCAGGCAGAGCTGCAATGTGCGTGACAACCTATACAGCATCGCCCAGCTGTAACATTTCTTGGAGGTGTAGGAACAAGGAGGCGAGGATGCTGCAGTGGAGACCCCCCGCCCTGAGCAGCACCGAGCCGGGAGCCCGTAAAGCCCCAGTGCCTGTGCCTGCCAGCGCCAAAGAAGAGCAGAAACCTGAAATTCAGAATATTTTTTTCTGAAGAGCCGCTGTCAGGCGCAGGCATTTCACTGCTTATTTACTTACTTACTCCTGGCTGCTCCCAAAAGCCTGGACGTTACCTCAGCCGTGCACTTGGCCACGTGGAAAGCCGGGTCCCGGAGCAGCCCCACCACCGTCAGTGCCATGGTCACGCGCTGTGGGTCCATGGCACTCCGGCCACCACCAGTTCAAGTCTGTCAACAGAGCCCAGCTCCATGGCAACACCGGACACCAACCCCCCACCTCCGGCATCGCTAAGCACTTCCCAGGCCCAACGTAAGCAGGTTTCAACCCTGTCAGAGGGTGGGAAATGCTCTGATTTCTGTTTTCCCCCAAAGGAAGGAAAATGAGGTTACACAGAAGGCGTGTGGCAGATCAGAGGATTGAAGCCAGCTCTTTCTGGTGCTCATGATGGATGCTGTCCGTGTGGGATCATTTAAAAGAAAGGATAAAGATCCTGTTTTTAACGGTGGCTCATATAGCAGATGCCTGGCAAAAAGTGGTAGGAATAAGCAAACATGAGAGCAGTGCTCCCCATTACACCCCCAGCCTCTGCTCAAGGATTTCCTGGTATCTCTGTGTTTAATTCCCCTTGGTGGCTCTTCCTCATGTGAATTTCTTTGCTCTTCAGACAAATGTAAAAATCCAGCACCCACAGAATCCTGTGCCGATGAGACTTTACAGCTTAATTCCACCCTGCGTAAAGCACGCATCCCCCTCTTTTACATGGAAACTCCTATTCATGGCTGCGTTCGCTGGGTGCTGCCGGGGCACCGTTCCAGCCGGCAGCCCGGGCGGAGCGGCACGGCACGGCACGGCACGGCACAGCACGGCACGACACGGCACGGCACGGGCATGGCATGGCACGGCACGGCACGGCACGGCACAGCACGGGCACGGCACGGCACGGCACGGCACGGCACGGCACAGCACGGGCACGGCACGGCACGGCACGGCACGGCACGGCACAGCACGGCACGGCACGGCATGGCACGGCACGGCACGGCATGGCACGGGGACGGAGCGGTTCCCGAGGGGCTGTGGCTCCCACAGCAAAGCTTTGTGCCACCGCCCTTTGGGCTCCGCACCCCTCCGGCTAGCACAGCACGCGCAGAAGCGGTTTGGTGGGACAGGCGTGGGGTCAGCGCGGGCTTCTGTCGGCACGGCTGGGCCGGGTCACTTGTCATCTCTCAGCGAGTTGAATTTTAGGAGATGCTGGCGTCAGAAGCGACAAAACTGAATTGTGTGTCACGTCAAAAATCTGCGTAACTTTTCATGGCATCGCGGAGCAATGCAACAGTCGTCACACCCCCAGGGAAAATATACATGTTTAGCATGTCAAAATCCTACTGCAGATGAGACAGCTGTGATTTTCCTGCGAAAAGTATGTTCTGCAGTTACAAACCTGTATTAAATATAACAAAAATTTTATTAATTTCTCATCTTAATAACAACATGAACTCTTTTTTTTTTTTTCAATTGTATATCCAAATGGCTTTATAAAGTGATAAATTTGTATGCAAGCACAGAGTTGGAACCAAAAAGCCTACAGCCTCTTAGCTAGATGTTTCTGAACTACTCATTCCTGTAAAAAAATTCAGACTGCAGAAGAAATCACAGGTTGTGGAAGGGCTTCCCCGTGTAGCCCTGAAGTTCCTCTGGTCCGTGTGTGGCTCAGAGATGCTTTTTTTATGGCCATTCATGAGGGCAATGCTTTGTAACCACTTTGTTGGCACCTGCAGCAATGCTGGATTTGAAGAGCTCCATCCTCACAGTATCAAAGACCGTGAAGAAGAGCAGAGTCTGAAGGTTTAGCTACCCCAGCTGCTCCCTTGCCTGAAAGACCCGTGTGCAAGATGTTATCATTTCAGGTTACGAGGTTGTCCTGCTGAAAAAAACGCAGAAAACTGGGGTAGATGAAACAGTTTGGACTGGGGGCCATATTAAAATCCTGTGGTAGACAAGACAGTTTTAATTTACAGTGCAGACAAGCCGAGGCATAACAGTAGCTGACCGCAGCAAGCGGCTGGCGCAGCGGCAGCCACGCATCTGCGGCCGAGGGAGGTGAAGGAAAACCCTTTACCTCCTCCTCCTCCTCCCGAGGGCCGGCACGATGACGGATGGAGCCTCTGCAGGCTGTGACTAGCAGAACCCAATTTTAGTAGTCAGACCAGATGGCTTCTGCTATAGCCGCAAAAAGTCCGTAGCAGCTGTATGTAAAGTCAAGAGAAGCAGCATACTCAGAGTCAGATGTAAAATCAGTAACACATCAGAAAATACTCTCTTCACCACCTATTTTTCTCTACATCTGTATTCTTAGCTTGATAGAAATTAATACAACTGAAGTTTATTTGGCATTTTAAAATGCCTCTTTCCTCTTTTTTGTACTACCAAACTTAAGTATTAAAACCAGAGCAGTCCACTGCGTATTTTTTTCAAAAAAACCTAGACTGGTAAGTGCATTTGCTAAGTGTGCTTAAATTTACACACAAATTCTGTTCCTGAAATGTAATTGTGCACATACATATGACTGGCTCCTGTTATTCCTTTTACTTTCCAAAAAAAAAAAAAAAAACTAGCTGGGTTTTTTTAGCTGATAATTTCTAGGTGTGGAAATTTTACTGTCATTGTGGGCAAGAAAGCAAATTGACTATAAACATGCTGCTTGCTAATAGTAAACTAATGGTCAAAGTCAAGAAGAAAAGCAACAATTAGCCAAACAAGCTTAATATTATTAGTCAACTAGCTGGTGATATCACTAGCTATACAGGACTGTTTTCTGCAAATTTATGATAGGCTTTTTGTAAAAAAAGAGCAAGCCAAGAGACACCAATTACTCGCTGTCTCTATCCATTCTGCCTTTTGTTTCTCCCCTTCTTTTCACATCACGTTGCAATACAGGTACATTAAAATCTATTTAACAGGTTGCCAATTATCAAAAGTATATATATCTCAAAATCTCAAACTGGATAATCATTTCAGCCTCTTTCTGCTACCTGTTTATGACAATATGATGCTGTTCTGCAAACTGACTCATGTTTCTTAGATGAGCATAAGCATTTTGCTGGTGTTAAGAGTCAGACGGGAGTTTGCAGCTACCAGCCGCTGTGCTCCGCCAGCTGCCTCTGGTTCGGGGAGAGCGGCGATCACCAGGAAGAGTATGGTGAGTATGAGAAGTTGTACAGCACATTTAAACAATGATACTGAAACCTTTTCAAAGGCTGGGCAGCTAATGCTCTTGGAAACACGAAGTCCTTTGAAATGTGCACACATGCCCTGCCACGAGACCTGAGAGTTTGGCTTCTGCGGGATTGTCAGAGGGTTTCCTTTCTCCAAACCTCTCCACCTGCTGCAGCTATTTCAGTTTCTTTCAGTCCAGGATAGCATCTGAAAGAGACTGAGGACAGAAAGGCAGATTGGATTGATTAAATAAACCCAACATTTGAGAGAGAGCCCCCCTGTGAACGTGGCAGGAGAGCTGATAGGGGTCACCCAGTGACATTTTGGTGAAGGGTGAGTCAAATGACTGCAGCATTGCCCTGCTGAAAGCTGCATAAAGAATAACGCTGTGCTTGTTGAAGACACAAATAACTTCACAGCACATACCTGGAGAGGAAACGTTGCACAGCTTGTCTGCGGAAGCTGCTGAACCACAACAGTGTGCTGTGATGACTAGGGGGAAGGCCAACACTGCTGTTCTGCTCCAGGTCCCCGGGCTGCCACGAGTCCTTTCTGACAGATCCTATTCAGCTGTTAGATCACCCAGCAGTTGAAGCAAACAACGCAGGAGACTTTGGAAAAGGTTTTCCTACTGCCAGGGAACAAAGGACAGATTCAGCTCCCGGAAGAAGGAAGATCTCCATATACTTAGTGTTCCAGGTGGAAGGCAGAAACTGATGTCACCTCATCAGGCAATTTAAAGCAAAGCCAAAGGTATAACCTGATTTTGAAGATGGTGGTATAATCATGGGGCTGTCCACAACCACCTGAAGTTCTCCAAGTGACTGTTGTAATAGCCATGAGACACGCTGCCTTTGAGGGTGAGGAGGATCCAGTGGTTTGAAGGGAAGGCCCATGAACACATCCGAGAATCGGTCCCCTTCAGGAATGCAGAGTGGGCTACAACTGCGGCTGTTAGAAAAACTGGCAGGGCAAAGAGTGGGGAGCTGCTCACTAAAACAAAGCTCTGCATCCTGCTATCCTGAAGATATATTCAATTAGGTAGGATTACAATATTAGCCAGAAAGGAGTAGTAAGCATACTACAGCGAGATGCTGGTTCACCCAGAATATGCCTGGATGGTGTTTTCCATTCAGAAGAATTGCTTGCGCCAGAGATGAACAGCGGCCCACCTGTTGTAGAAAACCGTTTCTTTTTCTCCATGTTTTGTGGAGGATCTGAAAAGGGATGGAGCCTACAGGACTGCCGTAGCTCACAGGACTGCAGGTCTGCAAGAAGCAGACCCTTTATCTAATGAACAGATGAAGGAAGCCCTGAAATCGTGGCTGTGGAAAGTACGGCACTGTCTGTTCCTTTTCCACACCTGAAGAGAAGCCGCAGTGGCAGCAGGATTGGGAGAAGCCTGCGCAGGTGGACTTCTGCCCACAGGCAGATAAGGGTGCCCGGGGAGCACCTTGACTGCTGCCCAGGCTCCCGGGCACGCCTGCTTTGCAAACTGGTCTCCTCCCAGCCACTCCTGGCTGGGAGTGGGCTTCTCCTGGGTGGGGACGCTGGTGGGGCCTGAGAGGCAGTCTGCTGCAGGGGCGGAAGGCAGGGGGTCACAAAAAGCATCCCGGGCTGCTACACTCACCTGGGCATCAGGTCAGTGATTAGGAATGAATCCCACGCTAGCTTTCATTTAAGGTGAAGTGGGAAAAGACTGAAAAAAACCCCATAAATCCCAGCACACTAGGACAGGTCTTAGAAAACACCAGCCGCGAGCAAGATCCCAATGACTAACCAGCTAAGACAGCAGAACAAGTGTTTCACAAATAAAGAGATGCAAGTGAAACTCTTTCCTGAACTGGCAAGAACGATGCCAGGCTCAACACCCCGAACTTAACCTGTGAATAAGCATTCGGTTTGAAAGAGTATGTGGTGAGGTAGTCATCTCCTTCTCCACTGAAATGCTGAGAGGTAATTGCTGTACAACCCCTAGTAGTGCCTTTTTTTGTCCCTCTGAGCAGAAAAGAGATCATTAAATAAGTATTAAAAAAAAGCCCTTGCAAAGTTACACACGCTGGGATGAAGCTTTTCATACTGGCAAGGTAATTTGCTTTTACAGCTCATATGAAATAAATATTCTGATATCCATCTATCACAAACAAGATGCTGGACTGGGAGGCCCACCTGCCTAATTCACACTGCCAGCGTTTTGGCTTCCACACAGAGAACAGCAAAATCTCTGGAACTTGAGAGTGCTGAGGTCAAGAAATGCTACTTACAGCTAAAGCATAAATATAACTGGCAAGCAGAGTAAGTGTACACGCAATAGTCAAATACACAATGAACAGCGTGTTTCCTCTACCTCTCAGGGATTTGTTTCAGCTTTCACTGGGAGAATCAGCCAAAATCTTCAGAAAAATCCACAACTTCATAGACTTGAATTTGAAAAAAGAATAGAAAAATCTTCTTAGAGTTCAACTCCATGTGATAACTTACAAATGGAGCAGAAGC